AGCAGGAGGGGGCAGCAGGAGCGGGCAGCGGGCAGGGAGCGGTGGGAGCGGGCAGCCGGCGGGGGCAGCGGGCAGCGGCTGCGGGGGTGGCCCGGCGCGATCTGTCCATGGTGCTGACGGCCGCGCCGCAGCCTCGGGGTCCCAAACAACCCGCTCCTGCAGCGCCGGGGCTGCTTGAAATGCAAGGCGCGCCTTTCGGCGGAGAGGGAGGGAGGAAGGCGACGGGGGTGGGGGGAGGAATTGAAATAAGTCGATTTTGTCTTTTTCTCCCTTTTTTTCTTTGGTGGGGGGAGTGTGGTAGAAATGCACATAGCCACGGAATCGGAATGAAGGTCTGACTCTGAGGATTGCAGGGTAATAAGAGAGGAAAGGGAACGCAGCACGAAAGGAGACTGCAATATTTTAAGAGAAGCAGTAGGTTTAGCCAGCCGGTACTTGGTCTGAATGCAGTAATTATGCATGCACGGGTAGGTGTTTATTGTATGCATACGTACCTATATAACAACATGCACAGCCCAAACTCATGCATGTCCATTCCCCAGCACCCCTTCACTCTTCTGCAAGATGCCTGTTATTTCCCTCTTTGCATTTAAGAAACAGGAGCTTGCTATATTTCTACTTTGGGAAACTTCTCATTTCTTTCTCTATTTTTGTCTATACAAAGTAAATGTAAACCTGATGCCCAGTGTCCTCATCTCTTACACATTCTGGTTGTTTTACTTCTTTTCCCCTTTATTTTTTTCCTCCGCCCCCCCCATTCCTGTTCTCAGTCTGTTTTAACATAGCAAACCACACACACATTTTTGACAATATGTGATCTTACCTTGGGTAGAAAGTCCTTGTTGAATATACATAACTGAAAAGAAAATGAATCCAATATAAGCTAGAAAGGTCCCCATCATTCCAAGAAGAAGAAGTCACATCAGGGTAAAAAAAAATAAAAAAAAAAAGAAAAGCCAAAGGTGCCCTCAAAAAAGAAAGAACTGATGTAGAAGTGTATGTATGTATTTCAAATATATGAACAGAAAGAAATTTGCAATGTTACAAAAAGGCTCTGTATCGTAGCCCTGGCTGYGACACTGGCAGCATTCTGCTGCTCAGTGGAGTCTTTTTCTTTGAGAAGAGCTAGTATTGCAATACAGTGTGGCTCAGATGAGCTGTCTCAGGCGCTGTGTTGCTTGAAGTCCAGATACAGACTAAAAAAAACACAAACCGTTGAAAAGTGGGTATCAGCTGCCTTCTGTGCCTTTTTTCAGCTACCTGGCAGCTTCGTCCAACGTCAGCTCTTGCTGCTCAGGATGGCGTGATGACTGCCCTCCCTACACACTGATCCAGCTTGGGAAGAGAGGAGTAGGGGAAAGAAAAGGAGGGGGGAAGGGGGGGGGGGCAAGAGAAGTCTACTGTGCTTGTATTCTTCAACTTTTCCTTCTAATGGCTGCGATAATGCCTTTAACCCTTCCCTCTCCCTCCCCATACTCTACACCTCTACCTGTTCTAACTTCCACTGGTTCTGATGCTGGGGTAAATCTGCAGAGGTTTTATTGTTTGGGGTTTTTTTTTTGTTTCTTTGGTTTTGTTGGAGGTTTTGGGGTTTGGTTTTTTTTGTTTTTGTTTTTTTTTTTTTTTTTTTTTTTTTTTTTTTTTTTTTTTTTTTTTTTTTTTTTTTTAATAGTGTGCAGCTTATGATTCTATAGTGAGCAGGGAGCTTTTATAGTACTGATGCAATCTTCGGTCTTGCATCCCAAAACACTCAGTGGCTAGGAGGGCATTGCAGTGGTTTGATTTTGGTGAGTTAAGCTGTTTTGGTTTTCTCCTTTTTCTTTCCCTCTTACAGGGTCTGAGGGGAAAATAGTTACTCAGTAATTCTGTCGCACTCGGTATTGCCTGCTCCAAATAACTATGCTTCTAGCATCTCACATTAAAATTACTTCATTTTGTCTTCAAAGACAGATAAAGAGGATGATTCTTAGAGTGTGCTTAGGTTGCATTATGCACATTTATACAGAAAAAATATTTAGCTAGACAAAAATGCATTTCATTATGGGGGCAGTAGGAGCGGGCAGCATAGATTGCTCACATTAATATATATATATATATATATATTTATGTACATCAGAAAAGGTGTTTACAGTATATTAAAGAATGTTCCTCTAGCAGTGAGTGTTTCCTTCCTAGTTTACTGTCTTCTGCCTACGTACATTAAAAATGTTCAGATAAGAGACTAACCTTGACTGTGTTAGGCATTCAGAACACCCTGAAACACATCTGCACTGGGAGAAGTTCTCTTGCTGGAATCGCCCTGCTGCTTGTAGTGAGAAGCCATCTAGAAAGTGCTTGTTGCACTAAGCAATCACCAAATACCTTCTGAAGGCTGAGACAAACACTTAATAGAAACTGAAAAGAGCACCTGATAATCACTCAGTCTGCCAAATAGCTGAACTTAACTGCTAATCACAAACTAAAAAAAGCTACAAGCCATAACAAATTAAGAGAATTTTATCTGCACAGGCAGTATGTTTTTCTGGAACAGGACAGGTTCTGTCATTCCTGGCAATGGGAGAGCAGCAGTTGCACAATGGTACAAGATGCAACTTTCACCTTACTGCACTAGCCAAATTATTGCATGCATACAAGATATCTGACATAGTTGCAGGGATCTCTTTCACAGAAGTAATGATATCTCACTGGAGAACAACCTTTTTGTCTGCATTTTAGGTTTGTGTTTTTTTTCCATAATTTCATGAACTCACATTTTTATTTATGGAAATAAGGCAGCCATTTCTCCATGGCAGTAGACTATTCCACTCATATAATAACTTATGCAATAATTCTGAGTAAAAAATCAATACAATAAATCAAATAGAATTAAAATTATTTAAATGATCCCTCAARTGGGAAAACAATTGTGTTACTTGAAAGACTTTCTATTACCACAGGATTTTAATTACTTTGTAGGAGGTCATGGTACATTCAAAATTGAAGAAAGCGTGTTAAACAAAAGAAAAGCAGCAGTCTTCAAAGGTGGTAGACCTAAATTATCTGAAATAGCCAAGGTTTGTCAGGGATTCAATGAACACATAGTGTAGAGGTCTTTACTGGTTCATATGGTGAATGTTTCAGTAATTTCTATAAAAGAAATCTGTTCCTTTTCAGATGGGYAGCCAAAATCCTAAGTCATTCCTGAAAATGAAGGCTGATTATAGGATTCACTTCAAACCCATGTACGTCATCAGTAATCAGTTGAAATTACAAATTAGAGATGTATTATCAGCAGCCAAGTTAAATGTAAATTAGACAGGAGGAAAAAGAATCTAAGCAGTATCACCTGGTTTAGAAGGAAAGCAGAAAACAAAAATAGATCCTTTTTTCTCTTTTATTTGCCTATTCCAATTCTAGACACTTCATAGGTAAATTTAATTTTATCAGTTTGTAATTTAGAAGTAAGAATAACTCTCCAAAATACTTTGTAGTCATTGGAACTAATGAAATCTTAATTTACTGTCCAAAAGATGTACAAAATAATATATATGTTTATTAAAATATCAGAACAGAAGATGTRTTATGAAATGGATTTAATGGAAAGAATCCTATAACTTGGTTASATATTTATTGTTTTTATTTTATTCATGTGTTACAAAAAGCCATATGATTCTGTGAAATACTTCAAACAGAAAGAAGAAATAATCCACCTTGTGTTATCAATGCTAAATTTTGCCATGATGGATGTGGCTTCTTCACTTCTCCACAATCAACCATGCTCCATGAATCTGGGCAATGAATGTGTCTAGTTATCTTGTGTGAAATCTCTGCCTTTTGTGCTGCAGAAAGAGTTTTCAAGTAGTTTGACTTCAATGAGAAGTATCAGTTGTGCTTTGTGACACAATTGATATGGTTCATGTGAGCTTCCTGGTGCCTTTTTTCCTTCCTCTCGATGATTTTAACAGATGAGACATCACTGGACATCCTTTCAGGTCAGAAAGAAAATGTCCATGCATGGGGGAATGACTTTTCAAACATGCCAATGAAATTTAATGATGGAAGACCCATTTATGAAGCCTTGGAGCTGAATTATGTAAGTCTCCCTGCATCTTATTATTAAATCAGTGCATGTTCCAGATCAAATGCTCCTTCAAAATCATGAGTGGCTCTTCATGGTCATTGCTCTGCCCAGTTTATGGATCCCAGGTCTATGCATCTGTTCTGACTACTAAGGAAAAAAAAATTATTATGGAGGTTGTGATTCCAAGCTCAATAAAAGTTAGAAATGAAAGCTTTTGTTTACTAATCAGCAATAAGGTTGGAGTGCTTTGGTCCCATAAAGACATGGACTGGTATGGGCTGCCTTGCTCTGCAGAAAACTGATTGATTCTGATTGGCTGATGATTGAGACCATGACTGTGTTGCTATCCAACAAGCTAAATTAAAAATCAAAACAAAACAGTTGCATTTTTTTCATATTTTTTTTATGTTATTTTGACTGACTGATATTTTCAGCTTTTCTTTTTTTCATCATTATTTCAAGGATGTCTTTACAATTTCAAGGGAAATTTTGTGTTGTCTGATGAAATCTGTGATTTGTAAAAGTAGAAATGGAGGTTGAATCTCTTCAGTGAGGATTGTTTYTGGTTTTGTTAACCCGAGTTCTCATATGAACTTCTTCCAGCAACTCACTGTTGTCTCTTTTCAACAGTATGTAATTATATATAGGAAGCGGCATAACTCAATAGGAATTATTTGGTTAATAATTTGGAAAGGATCTTGTGCCAGGTTAACTTTCAAACCTGAAAGTATCAGGGCCTTCTTACACAATTGTATAGTTATTCAGTGTAAGGAGATAGCACACACGGAGGATTATCAATACCCAAACTAATTCTTGGCTATGCTCAGAGAATTTGTGATCTTTCTTTAAAGAGAAAAAATCTAAACAAATTTTTATGTTTTAAGTACTTTGGGGGAAAAGAATTTCTCATATCTGTGTATGATGTCACCATTGGATCCCTGTAATCATATTTTCAATTGACAGTTATTTCATGATGAAAGAAATATCATAACCTTAATCATGACAGAGAATAGATGTAGAATCCCTCAAAATTAGTAGCATTTGAGACAATCATCAGTCTGAAGAATATTTGCCAAGTTTTGCCTTTTGTTATCTCCATTAGATTGTTTGGTCTGATTACTGTTCTGCATAAACACAAGCCATACTCATTTTCTGTAGATACGTACTTTGTGAAACTACATTTTGGTCTGTAATTTTTCTGTTGGCTCTGCCTGTCAGGGTTTCACATGGTGGTGGTGGGTACCTCTAGGATTTCTCCACTTGTTCAAATGTATATCAATTATCTATGAAACCAGCAGTGGAAGAGGAAAGGATTATAACAAAGGTTGGAAATAAGTTCTATTTTACTTTTAAGATCTTTTATTTGAAATACTTTTACACTCTTCCTCTTCAGATCAGAAACAAGATATTTTATAGAGGTGTTATTTGTGATCAGACATTTCACTCTTGTGGAAATTCCTGCACATTTGGCCATATTCAARGACATGAAGAAGTATGGGTTGATTATGCTCAATAGCAATTCACATCCCTTAGAAACCTGTGTTCATCCATTGTGCCTAAATTACTCACAGCCCTGAATGCTGACTGAGCACATACATGACATTTTCACAGAGTGAAATGCAAAGGGACTAGCTGCACCACCCTCCCTCCAATTAGTATCTGGTGAAACAGGAGAAAGGCAAGAAAAAGGAAAGATTTTACAATAAAATGCGACATCAGTGAACAGTAGAAAGTTAGAAAATGTAATGAAGTTTGTCTATTATCTTAAACCATTCCTTTCATTCCCAGGCGATTATGATCTACTTCAGGTGAACTCCTATTTTTAACGTGGGCTCATACTTCTCTCAATAGACAAAATTCTGGTGGTCTGGGAGCAGGTTC